GGGTAGGGTTGGGGTCTTCACCGACAAGGAACGAGATCGGATCGGGCCGTGCAGCACTGATATCGAATGCACTCGAGTCGGAGCGATCGGATCGAAACGGACCCTGGCAAGGAGACGAAGAGAAGCGCTGAACCATCCATCGCGACATCCAGAAGAGTTTGACAGTTGAGCCGACGAGCAGAAGGCGGGCGTTCACACGAGGGCCTTCGACCGCAATGCATCCAAACCCCTGGTACCGCGGCATCTGCTTTCAGACTGAACGCTCCGATCCTCACAATACAATCGAAAGCTCCATGATTCGACGAAGGCATGACGAAAAAAACATCGGCAGCCCGAGGGCTGCGGAGATCTCTGCAAGCAGAGGCGAGCGGACGATCGCCCGAAGTCCTGCAGCTGATCCAGCCCTGGATCCGCCACCGCGCAGTTGGGCGCAGAGTGGGCGTGTCCTCGGATCCTTTGCCCAAGCCGTCAGTCCTCAAACCTGAGGAGGAGGAGGAGGAGGGGGAGGAGGAGGGGGAGGAGGAAGGGGGAGGAGGAGAGGAGGAGGAGGAGGAGGAGGAGGAGGAGGAGGAGGGGAGGAGGGAGGAGGAGGGAGGAGGAGGAGGAGGAGGAGGAGGAGGAGGAGGAGGAGGAGGAGGAGGAGGAGGAGGAGGAGGCGGAGGAGAGGAGGAGGAGGAGGAGGAGGAGGAGGAGGAGGAGAAGGGGGAGGAGGGGAGGAGGAGGAGGGGGAGGAGGGGGAGGAGGGGGAGGAGGGGAGGAGGAGGAGGAGGAGGAGGAGGAGGAGGAGGAGGAAGGAGAGGAGGGAGGAGGGAGGAGGAGGAGGAGGAGGAGGAGGGGGAGGAGGAGGAGGAGGGGGAGGGGGAGGAGGAGGAGGAGGAGGAGGAGGAGGAGGAGGAGGAGGAGGAGGAAGAGCCTCAGCCCTCAATCCTAAGGAGTCTTTCAGGGCCCGGACCCCAAAGTCTCAACTCTGCCAGGGCTCCTGGCATGGCCCCCATAGCTCCCCCCGCGTCTCCCCGCGTGACTTCTTCGGGCCCGAGAGGGCCCCAGCACGGGCCACAAGAGGGACCCAACGGGCCCCCAGGACGGTCCAAGAGGGCCAGTCGCTCCTAAGGATCGCTCCAAGACGCCCAAGGTGGCCCCAAGACGGTCCAAGAGAGGACTCCAGGACGCCCCAAGAGGCGGTCTGCCGAAGAGGGCCCCAAGAGGCAACGTGATCGACACACGAACCTGGAAAAGTATATAGAAATGTAAAGCATAGAGATGCTTCAAGACACCAAATTTCAGCGACGGGCAATTGCAATGCTCAAGGCAACGATGGTGTTGTAGATGTACCGTGCCAGGGGCTGTGCTGTGCTGTGCTGCGATGACTCGAAATGTGCCACGCTGCGATGACCTGTGCTATGCTCTATTGCATTGTGGATCATGTCGTCCTTGGCATCAGAATCCTGACCGAACAGATCTGGATCTTAAGCTCGAGTTGCCTGACTGCATAACTCGAGCTGCTTGCAGTCGAACCGCGCGGGGCGCTCGACCAGCTTGAGCTCAAGATCTGACTCAGCTCCATAACGGGACGAGCCAAGAGGGGGCGACCCCGAACCGACGCGAAACGCACCGAGAATGGACGGACCGAAGCACGGCGAACCAAGACGCGACGAACTGCATCAAAACGAACCGAAACGATAGGCAGGCCGAACTGGCCTGACTCAAAGCGACAAGACAAACTGACCATCCTGAAATCACATGGCGACTCCTGACGAGCGAGCCGCACTCCGAGGTGCCTACCCAAGGCAGCAAGTTGGCGTACATTGCGATTGATACGAGCTGTGCTGCATTGTGGTGCGTCATGCTGTGTTGACCTGTGCTGTTCTCTGCTGCGTAGTGGATCAAGCAATCATTGGTACCCTAATCCTGTCTGAACTGATCTGGATATTATGCTCAAGGTGCCTACGCGCAGGGTTCGCTCACGGGTGGCTGCAGTCGAAACGTGTGGGGCGCTCAACCAGATTGAGCGTTGCGCTCTAAACATCCCCAACACATTTTCATGTTGGTGATTCACTTGGGCGACATGGACACGTGAAAACCAAAGTTTCGCTGGAAACATCATCAACACATCCTCATGTTAGAGATCCGCCCAGGCGACCTGGAACAAGCAGGAAAACACGCGGGTCCCTCTCGACCCAGAGCGGAGGAAGCGTGAAAAATGGTGGGTCCCTTCCGCCCCGAAGCGAAACAAGCGCGAAGACACGTGGATCCCTTTCGCGCCAGAGCGGAACAAGCGTGAAAACACATGGGCCCGTTTCGCGCCCGAACGGAACAAGCATGAAAACACGTGGGTCCCTTTCGCCCCAGGACGACACAAGCCTGAAAACACATGGGTCCACCAGAGCGGAACAAGCATGAGAATACGTGGGTCCCGTTCGCGCCAGAGCGGGACACACATGAAAGCATGTGAGTCCCTTTCGTCCCAGAGCCGAACAAGCGTGAAAACACACGCGTCCCTTTCGCGCCAGAGCGGAAGAAGCGTGAAAACACATGTCCCTTTCGCCCTGGAGCGAAACAAGCGTGAGAAAACGTGGGTCCCTTTCGCCGCAGGAGGCCTTCCCAAGAGGCCTCCCCAGGGCCCCAGGACGGAACGTGTCAAGATATTGCACATGTGGTGCCGATTCGTGTTTCTTTTCTGGCTCATGTGAACCCCGACCTCTTGGGGGCCAGACGACCACATGTGAGATTTCCCACCCTGGGTGGCCCGGAGACGTGAAAACACGTGGGTCCCTTTCGCCCCAGACCGGGCTAAGCGTGAAAGCATGTGTCCGTTTCGAGCAAGAGCGAAACAAGCGTAAAAACACATAGGCCCCTTTCGCCCAAGACAAGAACAAGCGTGAAAACACGTAGGTCCTCTTCGCGCCAGAGCGGAACAAGCGTGCGAACACGTGGGTCCGTTTCGCGACAGACCGGAACAAGCGTGAAATCACATGGGTCCTGTCGCGCCAGAACGGAACAAGCGGGAAAACACTTGGGTCCCTTTCGCGCCAGAGCGGAACAAGCGTGAAAACACATTAGGCCCCTTTCGCGCCAGAGCGGAGCAAGCGTGACAACACATGGGCCCCTTTCGCGCCAGAGCAGAACAAGCGTGAAAACACGTGGGTCCCTTTCGCGCCAGAGCGGAGCAAGCGTGAGAGCACGTGGACCCCGTTCGCCCCAGAGCGGAACAAGCGTGAGAACACGTAGGTTCCTTCTCACGCCAGAGCGGAACAAGCGGGCAAACACACGCATCCCTTTCGCGCCAGACCGGAACAAGCGTGAAAACACATGGGCCCCTGTCGCGCCAGAGCGGAGCAAGCGTGACAACACATGGGTCCATTTCGCTCCAGGGCGGAACAAGCGTGAAAACACATGGGTCCCTTTCGCCCCAGAGCGGAGCAAGCGTGAAAACACGTGGGTCCCTTTCGCGCCAGAGCGGAGCAAGGGTGCAAGCACGTGGGTTCCTTCTCACGCCCAGAGCGGAACGAGCGAGAAAGCACGTGGGTCCCTTTCGCGCCAGAGCGGAGCAAGCGTGAAAGCACTGGGTCCCTTTCGCCCCAGAGCGGAACGAGCGTGAAAGCACGTGGGTCCCTTTCGCGCCAGAGCGGAGCAAGCGAGAGAGCACGTGGGTCTCATTCGCCCCAGAGCGGAACAAGCGCGAAAACACGTGGGTCCACTTCGCAGCAGGAGGCCTCCCAGGGAGGCCGCAGGAGGCCTCCCCAGGGTCCCAGGACGGAACGTGTCCGATTCGTGTTTTTGTTTCTGGCTCTTGTGGCCCCCCCCACTCGTGGGGGCCAGACGACCACGTGTTCGATATCCCCCCCTGGGGTGGCCTGGACACGTGAAAACACTTGCTTCCCGTTCACGACAGAGCGGAACAAGCGCGAAAATACGTGGGTCTTTTCGCGCCAGAGCGGAACAAGCGTCATCGACAAATCCTCATGCTAGACATCTGCGGGGGCGACCTGGACGCGCGATAACAAGCGTCTCGCTCGAGAAATCCTCAACAAATCCTCTTGCTAGACATCTGCCTGGTCAACCTGGACGCGTGAAACCAAGCGTTTCGCTTGAGACATCCTCAAGAACTGGGCACCTGAAAACAAGCATTTCACATGAGAGATCCTCTGAATTCTGTCCCCAGTAGAAGAACAACATATAACACGAAACGAGCTTTTCGCTCGAGACATCCTCAACAAATTCTGCAAAACAAGCGCTTCGCTCGAGACATCCGCGACAAACGAAAATGTATACTTCAACATATGCTTTACCGATCGGAATTTCGAAAATCGGGACATTCTCAAATGTTTAATTCACCGGCCCTACGCGACCCCGCTATTGCGCGTGAAAACAATTCGCCTGCCCCACGTAAGTCGAGGCCCGGCACTTCGTTTACTGCAGGTCCGTGCCGTGTCGACCCTGGCGTTGGTTCCTGAAACCGCGCTGGATCGTTCAACCTTGAACGATCGGCCGTCTCCGCAATGTCCGATCGTTCAACATCGACCGATTCTGGGTCGCCGTCGGCGTTCAACCTTGAACGTCCGCGCTGGGGTCGCCGCGAGTCGACACGACGCAAACCTACCGTACCAACTAAAAAGGAACCCTGGGCCTACGCCCTTTCCGGGAAAACCTGTGACTTTCTGCTGGTTTTTGGAAGACTTGGGCGGTCCCGCCTTCTCGGCTTCCAGACGCCCCCAGAGGCCCCCACGACGGCCCAGGAGGGCTCCAAGACGGCCCAAGAGGGCCCAAAGACAGCTCCAGGAGGGTCCCAGGTAGTTTCCCCCAGCAGACGTTTCGAGCCCTTGGCCCCGAGGGACCCCCAGGAGGCCCCAAAAGGCCCCCAAGGGGCCCCAAGAGGCCCCCATGAGGCCCCAAAACTGCCCCCAAGAGTCCCCCGAGGGCGCTCCGAAGCGACCCCAGCAAACATCCCTGAGAACTCTGACCCACAACGCTGGCACGGTAGCGGGATGGGCCGAAGGCCATTAGATATGCCCAGATTTGGTGGTTACTCTCAGCCTCTTGTTCTCGCCGGCCTGCAACACCCACAGCGTGGTGCCTGAGCGAATGTTCGCGCTCACTGCACTAATGACGCAACATCCTGGACATGAACATTCGCAAATGCGAGACTGGGTGCAATCTGCACTGCCGACATAACAGAAGCGGCCTTTCTGCCCCTGTCTGCTCCACTCCACTACCATGTGCGGCAATGATCACAAGTATTGGTGGATCTACGTTCTGGTTATTTGGTCCAGGATGTCCTTGAAATCATGATTGGATACGCTACTCGTGCTAGTGAAACAACACACACACACACGCACACTCTCTTTTTTTTCCGGTAGTGGCCTCGCGCGCGGCGACGAGGCGGCGCAAGTAGCACTGAACGCGCAGTCGCGGCCGGGCCCTCAAGAATCGCTCTGGATTCGAAGCACCTACCGACATCAGCCATCTGGGCATGGATGGCAGGAAGGAAACGCGCCAGCCGAAGGCCCCACCCGAACGGCGGCATGAGCACCGGAGGTACGGCATCAGCGCATCCGGGCGTGGATGGCAGAGAGGAGAGACGCCAGCTAAGGGCCATGCCCAATCGGCAGCATGACGTGGGAAGAGATAACGTACGTGACAAAACGTCAGAACTAAGAGGTGTGCCACGCCAAAGCAGACAACAGGCGAGAAAAAGATGCAAAGCGAAGCACCCGGACGAATGCTGCAGGGCAGAAGCCCGTGGGCGAATGGAGATCCCGTCTTTGGTAGGCTCTTGTTTTTGCAACGCTGAGATTCCGTTTGTCGACCTCTCCCGATTCAAACGTGTTCAATGCCCACACTCCGTTGTCGCCCGCTCCCGTTCTTGGCAAGATCCCATTTTAGGCAAGATCCGTTTTTGGCGTATCAACCTGTGCCAGCTGCGTTTATTGTGCCAGTTGTGCCAGCCGATTGCGAATGTATTTCGCAATATTTGCTAAAGGCCCCCTTCCTCCGCCAATCGGGGTTTCGACGACGCCGTCGGCGACGACAACGACGATTTCGCCGATTTTGAAATTCGGGGGGGAGGAGGCCCAGACCTCCCTGGCGGCTCGGGGGAAAATCGCTCTGAAGTTCTGTTCGCCATCTTCGGCGTCGGGAGGGGCAACTCGGGCCCCAGAAGGACGAGAAGCAGGAGGAGGAGGCGGAGGAGGAGGACGAGACGGAGGAGGACTGAGAGGGCGGCACAGTGGTCAGAACGCCGAGGGCGGAACGGATCCTTCTCCGCATCATCCTCTTCCTCCCCACCCTCCCTGTCCTCGTCCTCCTCCTGTTCCTCGTTATGCTCCTTGTCCTCCTCCTCGTCCTCGTCCTCGTCCTCGTCCTCGTCCTCCTCCTCGTCTTCCTCCTCCTCCTCCTCCTCCTCCTCCTCCTCCTCCTCCTCCTCCTCCTCCTCCTCCTCGTCCTATTCCTCCTTGTCCTCGTCCTCCTCCTCGTCCTCCTCCTGTGCCAGTCGTGCCTGTCGTGCCAGTTGTGCCTCTTGTGCCAGTTGTGCCAGTTGTGCAGTTGCACCAGGCACACCGACCAGGCACACCAGGCGAACCAGCGGGTGGGGTCATAATGGTGATTGGGAGAGACAGCAGGGGCTGACGACAGGGACGATCAGGATGACGATGAGGGGGCAATAGCTTCAACGCGAAAGAGGATGATGGTGATGATGACGATGATGACGGTGACGAGGCAAATCCTCGTACGACGGTCAGGATGAGGATGCCGATGATAATGGTGATGAGGATGTTGACGGTGATGATGATAACGGTGATGACGGCGAGGATGAGGATGAGGACAACGAAAAGGAGAGCACACAGTCCTGCATGCATGCTGGTCTGTGTGGCGCGCACAGACCCGCATGCATGCAGGTCTCAAATGGGGTGCAAGCGGAACAGTCTTGGCACATTAGTGTGCCCATAAGGTCGCCACAAAGCCTCAAAGTGAGTGGCATGCCCCGAGATTGGTAGTATTTCCTTCACGCAATTGTTCATCGCGCGACAAGAACTGAAGCACTCCATGCATTGGCCTCCCTTGGAATCTGGCTCTCAACGAAACCGTCAATAATCCCAGAGGCAGCTCAACTGAAACTGGTTCAGCCCAAACGCTCCCCACGCACCGCGCCAGAGAACAATCGCCGCTCAACAGCACCACATTGACAACGAACACAAGGGGAACCGAGAGCCGTCCAACAAGATGGGCCGGCGGAACGAGCGAAGCGATCCGCCGCCGCACTGGGCACGGCGTGTGAGATCCACAACACTGTCTTCAATAATGCTTCCTGTAAGTCTTCTCACCAGCGCGCTTTTCATACCTACCCCTGCCTCTGAGCCCTCTCAACCCCTCCTACGGTCCTCCCCGCGGCCCGCTCATCTTGCCGCCTCCTGTTCCTCCATCGCCCTCCCAAACTCTCCACTTCCCCCCAAAAAACCGACAATCCGAAAAAAAAGATAGGGCGGCGGTGTCTGCCCCTTCAGGAGCGTTCAAGTCAACAATTGATGTGGAGCAGAGATCGCTGCTCCGCTACCAAGTCAAGCCAGAAGCTGCGTAGACTGAGGAATGCACGGTTCCTCGAATCGTCCCGCAGCTGTCCAAAATTCACATTCGTTTACACTGCGCCTAGCACGTCGACCTTACTAACAACTCTGGAAGCTGTATTTTCGACAGAGCGGAGAGCTCAAGCAGAAAGGGAAAATGACATGAAGAAAGAATCCGGCCGGGACCACTCCGAATCAGCGGGCGTTGCCTGGCTGGATCTCGCTCACGACGTCGCTGGAAATGTCCTCCTGCGCAGCGCGACAATTCCTCTCTTCCACGAGCGGGGGAGGGAGACATCAGCTCCCCTTTCGGCATAGAAATGCATTGAATCTGTGCTAGAGGGGGGCCCTGGTACGCGTAAAAATGCTCTGATGTGCGCCCTCAGGCCTCATACCCCTCACGAACTCGAGATGCGCTCGGAGGGCACGTGAAATACAATGGATCTGCGATGCCAGGCCCCTAAGACGCGTCAAAGCACTATTCCTCTTCCTATATTTTTGTAAGCCTGGGCGGGGGGAAAACCACACACACACACACACACCTCCAAAACCGGACTCCCGGGATCTGAGGGTTTGGGACCCTCCCGACGGGCCTCCAAGCGACACCTCCGGCCTCGCAGGGCGTAATGCGCTCCCGAAACGACCCCAAAAAGCCCCAATACGGTCCACGACGACCCCCAAGAAGCCGTCATACCCCCGAAGATCGTCCCGAAACGTCCCAAGAGGCCTCCAAGAGCACTCCCAAGAAGGCCCCAAGAGGCAACAATCATTGATCTTTGTTGGTTTTTGGTGAACTTGGGGGTTCTCCTCTTTTCGGCTACCCGACGCTCCAAGACGGCAGTCTTCTGGGCGTCCGAAGCCGCCTGGGAGGCTCCAAAAACGCCCCACAACCATACGAAAGGGCTTCCAGGCAGCCCAAGAGCCCCAAAACGGCACAACAGGGGTCCAAGATGGCCCTCAGAGAGCCCCATGGCGGCCCAAGATGGCCCCAAGACACCCTCCGAAGCATTCCAAATCGTGACCCGGTCGTTCAGGGAGACCGCGGTTGGAGGCAGGGTGAGTTTGAAAGGGGTTGGGAGGCCCAACCAGCAGCTTCGCCTTAGGCGAAGCCCAGCTCCAGCTCTGTTGTACCGTAGTAACGATAGTCCCAGTAGTAGGAGATCGTCGCGGGAGCGACGAGCCATCTCAAGCAAAGGGTGTTTTGGTCTCGATGGCAAATGGTACACCTCGCGCTGAGGTGTAGTCAAATCTGGGCGGCCAGCCGCTTGAGTACAAACGGCCGCGGACAAACGCTCGTTACCTCTCGCCCGTATCCCCAGCTCACTTTAGAGTGGGTGGCCCGAGGAAGCCCCCAGAGGCCCCCAGAACACGCCCAGGAGGCCTCCAGAAGGCCTTTAGAAAACCTGGAACAACTTCTGTGAGGCCCCCAAAGGCTCTCCAAGGAGGAGCCCCCGCAAAAAGAGCTGAGGAGGATGGGGAGAATGCGCAGGGCATGGCGAAAATGAGGAAAAATAAGCATGGAGGAAGGATAACGAATAACATTATTATAGCGGCGATGCTGGAAAAGGCAACATGGAGTTATCGCTAAATTGTCGGCTTGAGATTCCTACTAGTCCACTTGCATACCAAACTTCAAGGACCAAGGTGCATGGCGCGAAGCGCCACTGCAGTCTTGTCTGTGTATATATAAATATATATATATATATATATATATATACATTGTGTGCCCCAAGATCCTGGGATACTAAAAAGTGTGATGGATCCGTGGATCGCGAGCCTACAGTCTGCACAGCCCTCAATCACTCCGCGCCCCATGGACCTCCAGAGGCGCTCAGCTGGTGGTAGCTTCATATCCTTTCAGTACTAACTGGTCACCAACCCGAGTTAATCGGGGAGGGAGTGGGGGAGGCAGGTGCCAGCCGATAACCTTACCCCTTTCGCTTTGGGCAGCCCCACGTATGCCCGCACGCACCAGCTCCGCGTACCCCCCTCGGACCTGCGCAACCGACAAAGTCAGGTTATACGGAAGTGAGGGAGGGGGCCAAATAACCCGGGTTATCGCCGGACCCTTGAATTATCCGGGCGAAAGACCCAACCACGTGCAATTGTTGGCACCGCGTTGTGAGCACCGACCGCTTTCGGTGGAGCTCTCTATCCAGCCACGAGACGTGTGAGGAGTATGCCAACATGGGCGCGGTGGTGCCATGCGGACGCTGCCCTGGTGCCCTCGGTGGAGCTCCCTATAGGGCTGCGAAACTTCTGAGGGTTTTCCGACACGGGCGCGGTGGTGCCGTGCGAGCGCAGCCACTGTGGCCAACTGCGGCCTTCGGTGAAGCTTCATACCGGGCCACGAAACGTGTCAGAGGTGTGCCGAAACGGGCGCGGTGATGCCATGCAAGCGCAGCCACTGGGGCCCTCGGTGAAGCTCCCTGCGGGGCCACGAAACGTGTGAGGAGTGTGCCGACAAGGGCGCGGTGGTGCCAAGCGAGCGCAGCCAGTGGGGCCCTCGGTGAAGCTCCCTTATGGGGCCACGAAACGTGTGAGGGGTGTGCCGAAATGGGAGCGGTGATGCCGTGCGAGCGCAGCCACTGGGACCTTCGGCGGAGCTCCCTACCGGGCCACGAAACGTCTGAAGGGCGTACCGAAACGGGCGCGGTGGTGCCATGCGAGCGCAGCCACTGGGGCCTTCGGCCTAAGGGGTGTGCCGAAATGCGCGGGGTGGTGCCATGCGAAGTTGGACTTGAAGAATGTCTGCAGCCGAATGCATCCGAATCCGTAAGAGGGGGTTCAATGCCATGGCGCCAAGTCACCCGCAGGGGTAGAGTTCGCAAGTGGTCACAGAATCGTGAATCGAGTGGCCCGTTCTGCGCCTCCAGGAGCCTCCCGAAACCTCAGAATGCCTCCACGGAGACCTCCAGAGGCCTCCCCCGCAGAGCCGGAGAAAATCGTGGTCCGGTTCGCGCCGCATCGCCGACGTGGAGCGATCCTCCAACCCCGTCTGCTCCAGCCGAGTTTGGGAAGGCCTGGCGATGCTCAGGGTGGGAAAGGAACGGGGTTGGCAAGCAGGCGGAATGCTCGACTCCGTTCTGCTCATGGGCCTCCCAGGAAGAGCATTCGAGACGGCCCAGCCATCGGTAACTTCAACACCAGGGAGAGGGGCGGAGGTGAGGGCGGAATAGATGACCCGAAGGCAAGTCGGGGTGCGGCGATGGGCCCCCCCGGAAGACCCCCAAAAAAGCGAGGAGCACAATGATCCTCCCCTCCGCAAGGATAAACCAGCTGGGTGAGCAGATCGGACGAGCATCGCTAGGCAGCTGCTAAACTCCGTAGAGGGTGGCTCTGCCTGGAAAGCAAGTGGAACTCGGGTTAGTGAGAGCTGTGCACATTGTTGTATCCCCCGTGCCCCCCTCTGACCCGATCCTCCCTCCCAGACACCCACCGTGATTCGCATTCTTCCCAAACGCGCCCACCCGCAAGCCTGGGCACCAGGCCCGAGGCCGGCTCTCTCTCCCGAGGAGCTGCTCGCCGCCCCGCAGAGCCCGCCGAGGGCCTCGCGGAGCCGAACACTGCGGCACGAAGCGTGCGTGTCGTGCTGTCCCGCAGCTCGGGAAGATCTGCCGACCAGCCATAACTGGGGGAGCTGTGGTCCTTACCCCCCTGGGGGAACCCATCGCATCGACGATCTCTCGAGAGGGGTGTCGAAATCGATGGGTCCCCCAGGGGGGTAAGGACCACAGCTCTCCCATTGTGGCTGGCCTGATCTGGTCCTGCCGGCCATGGCTGGCTGCTGCAGAACGATCTGAGCGGCCCAGGAACGCCCTCGGCGGGGCGCAGCTGCTGAAACGCACCCCGAGGGGAGAATCACCCCCGAGGACCGACGAGGAATGCCCGCACCCCATCCGCCCCCCCCCCAGACATCCGACAACTTGATTTTGTTGATCCAGGGCCCCCGGAAAGTCACGATCTTCCCTCAGGGATGGTTTCTCGTGCCGAGTCCTCGTTCAATCGTCCTGGGGCCCGGTGAGGGCCCCCAGAAGACGAAAACGGTCAAAAACCTTCCCTCATGATCTTGCTCACGGCGAGGGGGGAAAACAGCAGGTACTGATACTGCTACTCCCCGGACCTCTCCCGGGGTGCGTTCTGACCCCAATCTCGAGGCGAATCCAGCGGTGGCGACGAGGGCCTCCCAGGAGGCCCAAAATGGGGAAAACGGAGAGGAAGGGTAGCAGTATGGGTACCTTGTCCTCCTCCGAGAGAGCATATCTAAGGCCTGGGACGTCGTCGTCGTCGTCGTCGTCGTCGTCGTCGTCGTCGTCGTCGTCGTCGTCGTCGTCGTCGTCCCGTGAGCGTGCCTCCTTATCTAAGGCCTGGGTCGTCGTCGTCGTCGTCGTCGTCGTCGTCCCGCGAGCGTGCCTCCTTGCGCGCGGTCACGCGCGACACCGTCTCGCACGTGTCCCCGGCCCGCCAGAGGTCGGCGTCGCTCTTGCCCCGGCCAGGCAGGCTCAGCTTCCTCCTGCTGCAGTGCCAGGGGGGGCCGCCGCTGCTGTACCCAGACCCCCTCCCGTCTTGAGACATGATCGACCCACGAAGTCGGAGAGGAATATAGAAATATAAAGCACGGCAGCGTTTCAAAGACACCTGATTGGGCGACGGGCAAATGCAATGCTGAGTATACCGTTTCCTGTGCCCTGTCTCCCTAATTCAAGCTGTGCGAAGCCCGCCTAGCTTTTAGCGGAAGAGGTTCGCTCTCGCCCCGCCGACCAAAAAAGTGTACCGATCTTGATGTACCGTGCTGAGGGCTGTGCTGTGCTGCGCCGTGCTGAATTGCGATGTGCCATGCCGCGATTGTGCTCTATAGCGTTGTGGATCGAGTCCTCCTTTGCATCCGGGTCCTGACCGAACTGATCTGGATCTCCATCTCGAGCTGCCTGAGCACATAGTAGCTGCCCCAGAGCTAATTGACAGGAGGACATGCCAGGAGGACGCGCCGCGGAACGTCCCAGGGGACGCGCCAGGCGACGTGCCAGGGGACGTGCCATGGGGAGACACCGCGGAACGTGCTCAGGGGACGCGCTACGGAACGTGCTGGGAACAAGCGCTTCGCTCGAGACATCCTGCCCAAGTCCTCCTGCTAGACATCCGCCTGGGCGACCTGGACACGTGAAATAAAGCGTTTCGCTCAACACATCCTCAACACATCCTCATGCTAGACATCCGCCTGGGCGACCTGGACACATGAAAACGAGCGTTTCGCTTGAGACATTCTCAACACAGCAACCTGGACACGTGCAAACAAGCGTCTCGATCAAGACTTCCACAAGACATCCTCATGCTAGACATCCGCCTGGGCGACCTGGACGCGTGAAAAAAAGCGTCTCCCTCGAGAAATCCTCAACAAATCCTCATGCTAGAATTCTGCCTGGGCAACCTGGACGCGTGAAACCAAGCGTCTCGCTCAAGACATCCTCAAGATCTGGGCGCATAAAAACAAGCACTTCAACTGAGACATCCTCTGAATTCTGGTCCCCAGAAGAGGAACAATCTATACCACAAAACAAGCGTTTCGCTCTTGACATCCTCAACAATGTCTGAAAAACAAGCGTTTCGCTCGGGAGATACTCAAATTTCAATTCGCCGGCCCACCCTTTCCTCGCTATTGATCGCAAAAGAAACTCGCCAGCCCACCGCAAGTCGATTCTGGGGGTCAACCTACTAAAAGAGAACCCTGGGCCCGCGCCCTTTTCCGGGAAAAAGCATGACGGGGAGTTTCAGCCAGCTGGGCACCTGGATAATGAAAAAACTACACACGATGAAAGACGGTCCCTGGGAAGGGGTCCAGACCCCTGGGGTTCCACGTCTTGAAAAACTCATTACGTTGGGGGGTCTGGGGGGGATTCGCCACTTCCTCGAGTAATTGCCATTTCCTCTAAGAAATGGGGCCCCCAGATGACTCCAGAGCCCTCCAGAACGACCGCAGACGTCCAAGAATCTCCTCGAGCTTCGGTACATGGAACCTCGACTTCCAAGAGGAACTGGTGATCAACCCTAGTGGTGACCCCCCTTATCACGAGCGGCGCACATCTGTACTCGCGCCCTCGCGGTCTGCATATTGGGGCGCGATCCAGCGGATATGCGGTCGCACGGATACGTTTATGGCGCGGGGCATCCGCGAAAAAAAGCCCCGTATCCGGCCCAGGGGCCAGCCCACGAGGCCGCGGATACGGATATGTTTTCCGCCCATGACCTTAGCGCTGCCCGGTGTCCTCATGGCCGAAGAGGCCGAGGAGAACCTCGAGACCATGCTTCCTGCGCAAGCGGCGCGGGCGGGGCGGAAGCGGTCGGCACCGCATCGATGAGTCGGACCGGACCAGAACAGGCATCGAGCCGAATCGCGTCCGCGCCGAATCGAAATCGAATCGGTTCGGCTGCGCCCAGATGCGCATACGGTAGGTTCGTGCGGCGTCGGCACTTGCAGAGGTTTTTAACTCTGCGTCGATCGTTCAACCTTGAATCGATCGCGGCCCTGATCGTTCAATGCTGAATTCCGTCGGGTCCGGTGGTATCACCATGTCCCTCGGTGCTTCCGCGTCGCAGAATTCAACCTTGAACGCCCTCGCCAGCGTCGCCGGCGCGCAAAAGCCGCATGAACCTACCTACCGTAATCAACCGGAGATCCGACGATGCGATTACTTCAATCTGGGCGTGTCTCCCGAAGAGTGAATCAATCCGGGGCGAGAAGGTCGGGGAACTCTGGGTAAGACGAAGCCTGGACGAGGATAAATTCGGATGAGGGTAAATCTAAAATCTCTGAGATCCGGCGGCTCTGGAGGATGTCTCAGGCGCCGCGGCCTTCTCAGAGCGTTCCGGAACCCTCTGAGAGCGTTCCAGAACGCTCTGGAACAGATTTATCCTCGTCCTAGCCCCGCCCGACTGGGGCCGCGCACTGAAAAAATCAGAACTCGTCGGACGTCTGGGAGTCACGCTTTACAGGCATCCGCCCGCACTGGATCGCAAGGACATTGGAGCCGAATCGGATCGGGCCAGCTGGGACCGATCCCAAACCAGCCTTGCGCGCTTCTCCTGCCAAGATAGCGATGGGGGGGGACTCGGAGGCCCCCAAAACGCCCTTTAGAAGCCCCAAGATGACCCCAACGGGCACGCAACAGGCCCAAAAAGGCACCAGAAGCTTTGAAAAAGCCTCCAACGGGGGCACCCAAGAGGTGACTTCACTCGCTCTGGACGTGCGTTCCGCGAAGCAGGGGAAGCTTTTCCGAGTGTCAACCACCAGATTTTCAAGCGTGGGTTCTTTGGCAACTCGTCCGATGAGGCGCCTCTCGCACGCCTGTTCATGGTGTTTCATGGTTTTGCCCTTCATCCCACCGCCCCACCCCGCCATCCACTGCATTCACTCCCTTCCTCCTTAGTCATTCATAACCTTCCCTCCTCCTCCTCCTCCTCCTCCTCCTCCTCCTCCTCCTCCTCCTCCTCCTCCTCCTCCTCTTCTCGCGCAGAGTCCCCTTAGATCTCCTTGGGTCTCGCGACCAACCACGAAGACTGCTACTCCTAATACTGCGGGAGGCTGACCCTGGTGGCCTGGGTTGAATAAGCATGTGGTCCGATGACGCAACGCTCACACTCCTGCCAACTTCCGCTCCTTCTCACTGCCCGCGCAGCGCGCTGCTTCGGCGGGGCGCAGGCACGTGAACGCTTCTCCCTAGCTCGACCCCACCCCGTCCTTCTCGCCACAGACAACTCACCGAGGCAGGCCCTCGCACGCCCCGACTCCACCCGAGCACCGGCAAGCATGTTCGGGGCCAACCGCGACGGCAAGCGGCACGGGACAGAGATTCACAACGGTCCTCAAATACAGTTTCAGATCGAAGAACCGTCCCTCTGCTGCCGACCACAAGTCGCCCCAGCACGGCCAAGATGTTCAAAGCCTCTGACAAAAGACCCCCACGGGTCGGCGGTGTGGCGTGACCCCAAGAACAAACACTAGCTATGGATGCAGACGCTGCATACAGAGCAATCCAAAACAAAGCCAGACTGTATGGGAAAAGAAGGGCTGACGATGACGTTCAGACACGACGCTGTCAAAGCAGGCAGGCGAGCAGGAAGCATGATAGAAACGAATGCTGCTGTCCGATCGAACTCTTGGAACCAGTGCTTCCAGTGCTCTGTTTTTCCCATTGGTCCTCCCGCAAAGCCATATGATCTCTCACACAGTCAGGTAAAAAGGAGTGAGTGTGGTGAAACCCTCAGCACAGGTACGACTGAAACTGCAATTGGACATCATGACGAGCAGCATGGCCGTTGTGTTACCTCATGGTGTTCGGCACTACCACTGGCACATACCATGCTCCCTGGCTCTGCGCTGACTTCTATCCTCGCGTTTCTCTTCTGCAGCGGCAGCACGAAGCATCCAGCGAATGCTTCTGGAACAACGATCCTATTGGAGCTGCTTCTGCCCATCCTGCTGGTCATGCTACTGCCAGAATTAATGTTCCTCCTCGTGCTGTTGCTCTCGCTGCTGTGTTTCATCATCCAAGACTTCCAAGTTGGCTGCGGAAGAGACTACACTCCATCATCTACAGGACTTGGTACGCGTTGTTGAAACCACGCACTTGGACAAGTGGACCAACCAAGATTTGCAAAGGACCGCACCTAGGAAAATGAGAACTGGCACCTTGTGACATGATGACCAAGTTCAACCCCCTAGATCGGGGCCAGGCCAAGCTAAGCTGCGTACGAACAACATGGACCCAACCCTGCACTAACTTTTTGCGATTCTTCCAGCATATGGATGTAGCTGTCTGCTGTCCTCATCGTGTGCACATTGGACTGCCACACCTGATGTACAACCCTCTGCCCAGGCCAAATCCACACCGTGATCAACTGTATCGGAGCCTGCCGTCGCGCTCAGCTCGGCGCCGACGCGCTCCACAATTCGCTCCGCACCCTGGCTTTTTATCTTGGCCGGTTTTTCGAACCGCGAGCAGCCGTGGCGACGAGAACCTTTGTACTCTTCCTTGTCCCCTGTCCCTCCCTCCTTCCGTCTCTCCTTTCCTCCCTGCCTTCCGCGCTCTCCTTCCCTGCAATCCTCATTCGCTGCCCCACCGTCCGATTGCTGTACTCTCCCCTCCTCCCCTTCTCCTCACCTTTCCCAATCTCCTCATCCGCCTCGGTGCCCCAGGCACGGGTCCCACAAAATCCGCGATATCAATGCTGCAAAATCTCCGGAAATGCCCTAGAGAGATCCCCTGCTCACGGGCGCTCCTGGGAGCTCCTGGGCTAGAGGCCACTCGTATGGGGCCCGAACCTGCCTCCTCGGTCCCCATTTGGAAGACATGGTTGGGCGTTCCCTGGATCGTGCATCTTTTCCAATGGCCTCGGGATCGTGGGTCGTACTCCAGACGTCAGACATGCCCCGAGATGCTCGCGGGTCCCGATGGGTCCGTCCTGGGACCTTCTCGGATAAATCCCTGGATTCGTCTTGTAGGCCCCAGGAAGCCGGGCCGCGAGACCACAATCCATGAAAAGCCTCAAATGAAATACAACTTTGGCATTGGACCCATTTCGGTGTTCCGAGCGTCCCTGAAAGCCTGGGATGCCCCCGAGATCGCCCCAAGACGGCCAACGAGCCCCCAGAAGAGCCCAAGAGTTGCCCTAAGAGGAGCCCAAAAGAAGGAGCTCGAAGGAGCCCCGGGAGCATTCCCCCCCAAGACGAGGGGCTGCAGGAATGTCCCAAGGAGCCCCCACGAAGCATCCAAGAGGCCCCCTAAGGGGCATTCCAAAAAACTGCAAACGACCTCCAAGGGGCCTCTCGTCCACGAGCCAGGCAAGTAGGTGACTTGGGACGAGGGCCACTGGGCACTTCTCCTCTAATCTTCCTCCTCCTCCTACAGAGGTCTATGAAGGTCCTGGAGGTGTCTGGAGTT